CCTCTTAGCTCTTGGCTCGAAGCTCAACCATTGAACTACACCAGCCGGGCAGGAGATAGTGTTTTAGAAAGACATAAAAGTTGGGGAAAGACTGAGCTGACGGTGTGACTTGCAGTAGTAGAGATAAGATGAATTAAATAACATATTTAGGAGAGCGAGCCCGGGACGAGAAGCTCTTGGGGAGAGGCTGTCAAAACATAGAGAAGCCGCTGACAGTTTATATTCTTTCAGCTCCCAGGACTGGGAAGAGCTGCAAACCCAGAGGGAGTTTAATTGTAGCTTCAGAGTAATAAGATCTCAGCAGGCGGGCGGCACTCGCTATGATAAGGACACCTTAAAGGGGAAACGCAGGAACAGAAAGCCAGGAGGCCAAGGAAAGGGTGATTGGAAGCTGAGCAGCACGTGCTCACTGGCGCCACCTTGAGGTGGGGTCTGGGAAGTCAGTGCCAGGAAAGGAGTGAGGTGATGGGTGGCATGCTGGGCAGAACATCTTCAGGTGGGCGCTTCCCCTTCAGGTCTACTTCAGTGCCCACGTACTCACTGGGGTGCACCCCCAAATTGTCTCCCCTCCTTTACCAGGGGCATCCCTGCCAAAAGGAACCTCGGCCTGAAGAACAGAGAAACCCACTCCCCTCTGTTGAGGGATTGGAGCCATGGCCAGGCTGCCCCGGAGGACAAGGATGCGCAGAGCCACGAGTCTGTTTGTGAACTGGCAGCTGAAGCAAAAGCTCCAGGGAGGCAAGCCACCGGGGGAGGTCTGAGGAGGCTGCCGGAAGGAGCAACTGGATAACAAGAAAACGAAAACACTGCACATTAACACAGAAGGGGCTGGGGTCCAGGGGGATGTTCCAGAAACTGGGAGACTGCAGATGCCGACGGACCAGACCATCGATAATCATAAAAGCGCAACATGCTAATTAGACCGGACAGCTGAACGACCTTCCGGACGTCCTTCCGGATGACCTTCTAGATCAGTGGTTCTCAACCTTCCTAATGCTGCGACCCTTTAGTACAGTTCCTCATGTTGTGGTGACCCCCAATTTCATTGTTACAAATTGAACATAATTAAAGCATAGTGATTAATCACAAAAATAATATGTAACTATATGTGTTTTCCGATGTTCTTAGGCGACCCCTGTGAAAGGGTCGTTCGACCCCCAAAGGGGTCGGGACCCACAGGTTGAGAACTGCTGTTCTAGATGAAGCCGGGGCTGTGAGGGTCGAGCCCCTTGCACGAATTCCATGCGCTGGGCCTCTAGTGTATATAAAAGAGGACTCTGACCACAAAGTATAGCCACTTGCCCAGGGAGCCAACCTCTGACCTAGAACAACCAGCCAGGAGAGCCAGCCTGCTCTGAGTCAGGCTGCTTTCCCGAGTCATCATCTAGAGGCTGAGCCGTGACTTCTAGAACCCAAATGGCCATGGCTTGCTTAGCACGTGCCAGTTTCCCTAATCTCTGTCCCCCACTTCCGCCCTGGGCCCCCCCGGAGTCAAAACAGGCACTCCCCAGCCCGTCACCCAGGACGCCCCGCTGCTAGTGGGCAGGCGCCAGCTTCCTCACGCCAACAGCCTCAAGTCAGGGCGCCTGCCCCTTCCCCCTTTGCTACTATAAAGGTTTCCCCCTCCTCCCCCTGCCTTTGAGACGTTGCCAGACGCAGGGGACGGTGGCTGACCGCCCTGTGATACAAGCTCTGAATAAATAGCCCCCGTTCTCATGTGCTTGGTCCCTGTTTACCCCCCCCCCCCCAACTAAAATCAGGAGAAGCGAGGACGTGGGGGGAAGAGAAAGTCAGCTGTGAAGGGAGGAGGGGGATTCTGACTCCTCTCCTGTGAAGGAACAGGAGAGGGTTAATATTTACATATTGCTTGGTATGCCTTTCTTTTTTATTTTATTGATTTAGAGAGGGAGGGAGAGGGAGAGAGAAATATCAATGATGAGAGAGAATCATTGATCGGCTGCCTCCTGCATGCCCCCTACTGGGGATCGAGCCCGCAACCCGGGCATATGCTCTTGACCGGAATCGAACCTGGGACCCTTCAGTCCGCAGGCCGACGCTCTATACACTGAGTCAAACTGGTGAGGGCAGTAGGTGTTTCTTGATGCTTTGTTATAGGTTTCTACAACTTACTATGGCCTCATAGAACCTGCTGAGATAGATTTTTTTTAATCTACCATTTTTAAGGGAAATGAAACTAAACTAGTCTTCATAACCCTGTAGGGGCAGAGTGGGGTCCAAGGCCAGAGTGTCTGACCAGAGTATTGCCATGGCGGTCTCACTAACTATTGTACCTCCTCGTGCAGGGCTTTGGTGCTCCACAAGTAGGAGACGAATAAAATAACGAGATTACTGTCTCGCCCACGTTTACAGATTGGTAAGCGGCAGCATGTGGATGTGAATTCAGATCTTTCTGATGTCGAAGTCCATGGTCATTCCCTGCATGGGGCTGACTTAGAGGAGTTGCTGGCAGGTGCAAAGGTGACGCAGATATTAAACGCACTGACCTGAGGTGGTTACAACCAGAAAGGCTAGGGCCGTGGTTGGCAAACCGCGGCTCAGGAGCCACATGTGGCAAACGTGGCTCCTTGAGTGTGGCTCTTCCACAAAGTACCACGTGCGGGTGCGCACGTACAGTGCGAAGTTACTTAACACTTTTAAGTAGCGTTTATTCACCTTTATTTTAGGCACCCCTCAGCCTGTGAAATATTATGTACCGCCGCACGATCCTTAAAGTGATTCTTGTTTTAGTTTGTAACTCATCTCGCGGCTCTATCGATTATGCTGTAATATAAACCAAGTATCCAAGACTAGTGATGATGGGAATAACGGTAATGTTTCGTCCTC